TGAGCGGCCGGGCCCACCAGCTCGTCATGGAGGGCTACAAGTGGCACTTCAACGTGACCGTCCTCACTGTCTGGTCCGCCCCCAACTACTGCTACAGGTCAGCCACGCGCCAAGCACGCGCTAAGGGAACGGGGGGCACGGGGCGGGCGGAGGAGGGCTGCTGCTGGCACCGGAATGGGGGGTGGCGTCTTTGGGTTTGTTGGTGGGGTTCTTGACACGCTAAGCACATGCTAAGAACATGATAAGGTGCGGAGAGTGTGCGGTGAAGGGATATGGAGTAGGGGACAGCAGCGGGCAGCGAGCGACGCTTGAATGGGATCACCCTTATCATGGGTTTGGTCTGCAACTGCTACTGCGGATGAGTTTGAACATGCTAAGTACATGCTAGGTACATGCTGAGATGTGCTGGGATACGTGGTGGGAGGAAATGGGGCCGGGGGGACACGGGCACGAAATGACACTTGAATGGAACCGTTCTTGCACAGGGTCAGCCACCAACTGCTGCTCCAGCTGAGTTGACGTGCTAAGCACGTGCTAACAACATGTTAAGGACACGCTAAGGGACACGGGGGAGGGGGGATATCGGGGGGGGTTCTGACTCTTGAAGGGGACCCTCATCGTCATGGAGTTGGCCACCAGCTGCTGCTCCAGGCATGTCACCACGCACACGCTAAGGACACGCTCTGCCCTGTAGGTGCGGGAATGTGGCGGCCATCTTGGAGCTGGACGAGCACCTGCAGAAAGAGTTCATCATCTTCGAGGCGGCGCCGCAGGAGACGCGGGGGATCCCCTCCAAGAAGCCGGTGGCCGACTACTTCCTGTGACACACCCACCCCCCCCGGCCCCACCCGTGTCCCCAAGGGGTCACCTGCGTCCCCTGGGGCCACCTAGGGCCGCCCCGGGGCTACTGTGTCCCCAGGAGATGTGGGGTGTCCCCTCCGTGATGGCCACTGCTGGTAGCACCTGGAGAGGCGTAGGGGTGTCACCGTGTCCCCTCCTGGGTCACCACAGTGTCACCTGCGTCCCCCGGGGTCCCCTAGAGCCACCCCGGGGTCCCCCAGGGCTACGGGGTCCACCCCAGGGTCCCCCAGGGCTACTGTGTCTCCGGTAGGTGGGGAATGTCCCTTCCAAGGTGGCCATTAGTGGTGGAATCTAGGAAGGCTTGGAGACATCGTTGTGTTCCTTGTCCCCTCCCGGGCCACCACAGCGTCACTCGTGTTCCTTGGCGTCACCTAGAGCCACCCCTGGGCTACCATGTCCCCAGGAGATGTGGAGTGTCCCCTCCAAGATGGCCACACTGCTGGCGGCATCTAGGGAGGCTTGGGGACATTGCCCTGTTCCTTGTCCTCTCCTGGGCCACCGTGGTGTCACCCGTGTCCCCTGGGGTCACCTAGAGCCACCCTCCTGCCCCCTGAAGTGGCCTTGTCCTCTCCTGTCGTCCCCC